GATATATTCGTTGTCCTTCAAATACCCAGGTAATGAATTGTATTCCACCAGTTGGTACTTCGCTTTCTTCCACACTCGTTTCCCTTCCCTTCCCTTTAATGAAGAACCCGCCCTTTCATTCTCTTTTGATCCGCAAAAAGATTGCGTTTCCCCACAATTTCCTTGATTTCTATCCATTCTCTGACCTACCCATCAAGCATTAAACATAATGTAAGCATAGAATCGTCATATCAACACTGGGTATCAAGAATTGACATCAAAATCATAATTTATCGCGGGCGTGCACTAATAATTTTTATATGTGTAAAGCGATTAAAAGAAATAAACACCTTAAATGGAAGAGACAAGGCACCGCCAAGGGAAGACCAAGAAATTAAATTATTTACATATATATTTATATGATGTATATATATTTAGTGAATTTTCCACGTCTTTTCAGCGGATTTAATAGAAGTGGAAAACGAATTGATTTGCTAATGAGTTTATCTTTTGCTAAGCGATGAAATGAGTTTACGAATTACAATCTATGCCTGAGACTTGTGTGAGAGAGAAGAGAGAGATGCTGAGAAGATATTTTTGGGATACTTTTGAATCTACGGACACAGGAAATTGGCACAAAATTTGAAATGGACCATACAGATTTAAAAGACGGAAAAAAAACATACACTCAAATGCATTGGATGTTGCTTACAAATTCTTAAGAGTTATTCCCTGTATTTGAGGAAGGGAGCTGCTAGGGCTGTTTGTGGATCGGTTCAATTCGGTTCTGAAGAGATTCGAGTCGATCCAAAACTTTTGGGTATTTAATAAATGGATCATCGGGTCCAAATATAATTATGGAACCATTCGGGTTCGGTTCGGTTCGGTTCCGTACTATAATCAAATTTTTTAATATTTATTTACAGCAACACTACATAAATACAACTAATGACATTTCATTCGTATCGTTTACAAATTAACGTAGCTCAATTCAAAAACATATAAATAATTAGCCGTCCAATAAGATTAATTCAATGCATACAAATACCAAAATATAGATATTAATATTANTGGGCTAATGAGTTTTAAAAATGATTTGGGCTTTAAAATTAAAATTATGAAATAATCTGATTTATTTAATTAATTTGCTAATTTGTTTAGAAAAAAATAAAATAATTTAATTAATTCAATATAAAAAATAAAAAAAATATTTAGTTTAGGTTCTTATTCGATTCTTCGATTCTTGGTCTAGACCCGAGATTCGACCCAAACACATCGATTCTCGATTCGGATACCCGTTCAGGTATTTAATTTATGAAAAACCGCTCGATTCGGTTCGGATTCGGTTCGAAACTTTTGAACATCCCTAAGTGCTGCTACAATTACCGGTGGGATTGACAACCCCCCGATACAAATATAATTTCCCTTCGAGGAAAAACTCTACATATAAACAAGTACTTTTTTTCATTTGTACAGAAACAATACCACAAAAATGCACCAGAACACTCACAATGGGGTGGACCCCACTGTGTAGTAAAAAAATAAAAATGCAAGGGCCCCACATGGTGTGAGTATTCTGGCCAATTTCTATTGGTTTTTCCATTTGTACGTGTAGCACCAGCTGCACCACTGAATAAACAAATGGTATAGAAATTGATATAAAATTTTGAATTAAATCTATCAATCGTCATCCAACGTTATACTTAATGTCATTATAACCATCTAATTCAATTTTGTTTCATCATAGCTACCCAACTTTATACTTAGTATCACATTGACCATCTAATTTGATTTTGTTTCACCCATCCAATTTTATATAATTTTAAAAAAAGTAAAATGATAACTTGCATTATATATCAAATAAATTTTAAAAAATAAAACAAGAATTTATTTTAAAAAATAAAATAAAATAAAATAAAAAATAATGTTACTTAAAAAAATTAAAATAAAATAAAATAAAATAAAAACTTATTGAAAAAACATTTTTAAAATAAAATAAAAAGTTTTTAAAAATAAAAAAATTATTTTTGTTTTTTAAAAATATTTTTTATATATAATAAAAATCACAGTTTTACCCTTTTAATATTAGTGAAATTTGTGAAAATAAATTGAGCGGATATGGTGAAATGTTATATGAAATGAGGTGATCGTGGTGAAACATTATATGAAATTGGGTGGAGATGGTGAAATAAAATCAAATTGAGTGACTATGGTGACACTAAGTATAAAGTTGGGTGACCAAGATAAAACAAAATCAAATTAAGTAGTCATTGTTACATTAAATATAAAGTTTGGTGGTCATTGGTAGATTTAACCCTCTTTCTTGACTTTATGTGAGAATTCAAAAAGTGTTGGATGAAAAAATGTGTGTTTTTTTTTTTAAATTGTCCAATTATGGGTCGACACCTGACATAGTGTAAGAATGATGTAAAACAAAATATACATGTAGCATGATTGTAAAAACTTGCCCCACTCCGACACTAACTGGCAGAGAAAATCGTAAGAATGATTCTATAAATGTATGACTATTAGTCTATTACAAAGAATAATAAGTAAGGTTCTTTCACTACTTTGAAAATGAACAGTTTTTATTATATCAACAGATTTGATAAAAGGTAATTATTGACGCCACAATTTTTTATTTGTTACACAATATTTTAATTGTAGATAAGTTCATCAATCTTTGCTCATTGTAACAATTATTTTTTAATTTTTTTTATATTGAATTATTATGATTAATCTTCCATTAATTAGTACGTCTCATCCTTGATAGTGATTTATATTAAAATACTTCATTTTCATACTTTGAAACGAGGGAAAATATATTTTCGTACTTTTTATTTATTTATCTTTTAAAAA